ATCTGGCCCTTTCTCTTTGGTGTCCCTGCCTTTCCAATCAATAAAAAAATTGGGGGCCAGTGTTGTAGCATAGTAGGTTCAGTCACCTTCTGTAATGCCAGCATCCCTATGGGCACTGGTTTGTATCCAGGCTGTTCCACTTCTGATCAGGATTCTCCCGAAATCCTGGGGCAAAGCAGTGGCAGATGGAACAAGTGCTTGGGGCCCTGCCACCCTCACGGGAGACCGGGAAGTCTCGACTCCTGACTCCTGACTCCCGGCTTTGGCCTGGTCCCATAGTGGTTGATGCAACCACCTGGGGAGTAAACCAGTTGGATGGAAGATCTCTCTATGTCACAGTCTCTGTATCTTGGGCTTTCAAATAATACCTAATCATAAAAAATAAAAACATTTGTTTGGCACACTGGTCTTCCCCTGTCCCAAAGGGCGTCCAACCTCAGGCCAGCAGGACTGCCGCTTTCCTGCATTCTGTCCTGTGAAGTTTGCTCTTTTTACTGGCGAGGACTTGAGCATGGGTTTCTTGCTCTCCCCTCAGCACCATGTCCAACAAACCAAACTGCTGGTTTTGACAGACACCTTTACCCACCCTGGTAGCACCACAAGCTCAGGGTGGGGAGGAAAGGGACACAGCTCCAGGCCAGCACACCACCTTCTCCCACTCTTCTTTCCTGGGCAGTCAGCAATTCTCCATCAATCAGTGCTGTCTGTTTTGTGGTTGATTGGTTTGGGGTTTTTTTGGTGGATTCCCAGAGGCCTTAAAAGTTGTTGGTTTTGTCTTGTTTCATAGCTGTCGACACATTGCTGGGGAAAGCCAGACATGAGCCCCTTCAGCACCGGACACAGCCTAGGATCCTGCTGGGCTCAGGACCTCCCCTCCCATCTCTAGTCCCACGAGGTGAGTCGGCCCTCTTCAGTGAAGCTCTCCACTCAAAACCAGGCCTCCCTCAGCTGGCAAGGGGAGGTGCCAAAGATTTTATGTATGCCTGTGGGGGTCCCAACACTGTCTCAGGCAGTAGTACCCAGTGTGGTGTGCACGTGAACTAGCAGATGGAACACCACCTTTCATCCCTAGGGTGTGCAAACTCTTACACTCACTGACATTTCACAAGGGAGCCAACCTTTTTGGAGCTTCTGCTCAGCTAAGCTCCCACGTTGGAGCACTATTTCAAGTCTCAGCTGCTCCACTTCCCATCCGGTCTTCTGCTTGTGTGCCTAGGAATACAGCAGATCCAGCCCAAGTACTTTGGCCCTACCACCCATTTAGGAGAGTAGTAGGAGTTCCCTGCTCCAGGCTCCATCCTGGCCCCTACCTGACTGTTGGGGTCCTGTGGGAAGTGAACCAGAGGAAGGAAGACCTCTCTGTCACCACCTCTTTTGCTCATTTCTGTTTCCAATGCATAAATCTTTGTGGAAAAATTACACACCACATGGTAGTTTTCAGATCAATGTGGAACCTTTATTTATAAACACAGGCAATGAGTTGGATCTGGTTCCAGGGATTCAAACCCTTGCCATTTCACAAGGGAGGGAAGGCCAGGTTGGGTTGAGGAATACCCAACACTCTCCCCACGTACCCATGGTGCAGCATGAATGCTACAGAGAGCCCCGCATTGCCCCCCCAGTCTCCTCTTCCACTGCTGTCCCCATTGTCCTGGATCCAGTGCCCCATTCCATGCCTGCCACCACCATCACCCCGTGTTCCCCTTCTCCCTCCCAATTCCACAAGAAGCCCATGCTCAGCCTCCCTCGGCCCACCCTCGGCCCACCCTCGCCCTCCCTCGGCCCACCCTCGGCCACCCCTCCCCCCCTCGGCCCACCCTCGCCCTCCCTCGCCCCCCTCGCCCACCCTCGCCCCCCTCGCCCACCCTCGCCCTCCCTCGGCCCACCCTCGCCCTCCCTCGCCCTCCCTCGCCCACCCTCGCCCACCCTCGCCCTCCCTCGGCCACCCTCGCCCACCCTCGCCCTCCCTCGGCCACCCGCCCACCCTCGCCCTCCCTCGCCCACCCTCGCCCTCCCTCGCCCACCCTCGGCCCACCCTCGCCTCCCTCGCCACCCTCGCCCACCTCGCCCTCCCTCGGCCCACCTCGCCCTCCCTCGCCCTCCCTCGCCCACCCTCCCCCTCGCCCTCCCTCGCCCACCCTCGCCCACCCGCCCCTCCCTCGCCCTCCCTCGCCCACCCTCGCCCTCCCTCGGCCCACCCTCGCCCACCCTCGCCCTCCCTCGGCCCACCCTCGCCCACCCTCGCCTCCCTCGCCCTCCCTCGCCCACCCTCGGCCCTCCCTCGCCCACCCTCGCCCTCCCTCGGCCCACCCTCGCCCACCCTCGCCCACCCTCGCCCACCCTCGCCCTCCCTCGCCCACCCTCGCCCACTCGCCCTCCCTCGCCCTCCCTCGCCCACCCTCACCCACCTCCCCTCCCTCGGCCCCCCTCCCCACCCTCGCCCTCCCTCAGCCCACCCTGGCCCACCCCTGAACCACTCTGTTTGTCCCCATCCTCCATTACCCTGCCCGTGCCCATACCCCCATCCTGCCTTCTCCCTTCCCTCACCCATGTCCACCACTCCCTTGCTCCCCAGGCCCTCTCCCCACAGACCTGCTCTCCCTGCTCTGTCCCTGCCCTCGGCGCCTGTCCCTGTGCCACTGTGCTGGCAGCAAGGCCTAATAACTGCCACGGAGGATGACATCACAGAAGTCTGGCCTGTGCCAACATTCTGTGCAGGTGAGGTCATTGCCCTCAGTGGGACTGTGAGCCACATGTGGAGCACACTGGCTCTTGTGCACTGGCCACTCTCTCCACATTGGTCCACTTCCCAGCCCATCACGGGGTGGCAGGTGTAGACGGGCTCTTACAGGGCTCATGACCAATGGAACCTAGTTTTAAACTAACCCCAGAGCAGGGATGAGTAAGTGTACAGCATTCCTTCAAATCAATCACAACAGAGCTGCCCCTTCTCTGCTCGCAGGTCTTCCTCAGGCTGGGTAAGAGGTCAGTGCTGTGGGCTTTACCCTCAATTGACAGTCACCAGAAAGCGATGACAAATTGAACATACCACAGTGGGACAAGGACACTGGCAGATGAACCTTGCCCAAATCTTTTATGTTATCTAAGATCTTAGCTAAGGACAGTATGATGTTTCAGTTGCCAAGGTATTCAAACTCTACTTCCCTATTTTCATACACATGAGTAGACCCATGATGCATTTAATTAGACCCATGATGCAGTGTGTGTAAACTGCTTGGGCAATCTTTGGGCCCAGCAGTGAGAGCACCAGTGAGACCTGGGGTTTCCATCCAGGCTCCACTCTGGTTTCCAGCTTCATCCTGGGGCTCCAGCAACTTCAGACACCTAGGAGGAGCGTGCGCTCTCGCTCCCTCCTTCTTAAATAAATAAAGAAAAAATTCTTAGAAAATGAAATCTTCAAATTATAGAGTCTAGGCAGATTGAACATCAACGCTGGCCTCGGCTCCACACTGGCCCAGTGCCAAGGGAAGGGCCTAGAACAATTGGAGCAGTGGGCAGTGGAGCAAACTGCCCATGGACAGGCACCTGCCCAAGAGTCACCGTGCCCGGCCACTAGAGTACCTCCAGCTGCCAGGCCACACCCCCCCACCCTCTTGGAACCATTTCTCCCTCCCCACCCCAAGGGGTCCCACCCAGGTCTCTGCCCCTCAGTGACTTTGGGTGAGGGGCTCATATACACGGACCCAGTGCCAAGAGGGACAGCAGGTTCTGCCACCCACACCCACCCGTTGAAACCTCCAGAGTCAGCAACTGGGACTGTGTTTGTGTGGGAAGTTGCCTTCCAGGATCTGGGCTGCTGGGGTCCCTGGTGCATCTGTCAGCGAGGCCAGGCCCTCCTGGGGAGCTTCCACAACCACAGTGGGGGAAGGGGCACAGTTAGAGGGAGACAGAAGCCACAGAAGCTGACACTGTGCCCCAACCCCTGTAGCCTCTGTATCCCTGCCCCACCTGCCCTGGCCTGGCTGGCCCCTGCAAAACCTGGTTTCTCCCCAGGAATGTTTGTTCCCGTTCTCTGCTGGGGGAGTTTTTTCATGGCGGGGCCTCATCCTCGACGAAGCTGTGGGACTCAGAGCCAGGCTCTGTGTGGCCCGACGATCCTGCTGACCCCGGCCTCCTGCAGACCATGGGCCGCCATACCCCTGGCCGCATTTCCAGCTTTTCAAGTGGGAAGAAACCACCCCGCGTCCCAGGACTTGCACTTCTGTGGGCCATCCTCAGCAAGGTCAGTGAAGTGTCTACAGCCGCCTGGACCATTTCTATGAAGAACGCTGGTCGAAGCCTTGGCTGAGGGGGTCCAGGGGTGTGGAGTTGGGGGTGAGAACCCTGCAGGGAGAGAGGTGGTCACTGGTGTCCAGGAGCCAGCTAAGGTAGCCATGGGCCTCCCTAACCTGTCCTCGCCCACAGTGTTTCACGGTTGGTTTGGCATTTGTGGCCTCAGATCACGGGCTCCTTCGCTGATAGGTATGTACCCTGCAAGCATGTGGGCCCCACCCTTAGGAACCTGCTGGGCGCTAGAGGCTGGGAGCTGCCAGAGGACAGGCGATGGCCTCAGAGCTGGTGGACACTGGGGCAGCTGCTGAGCGTGGGTGCCCTGAAGTACGCTTAAAGGAAGAGGAGCCCAGGTCCCTCCTATTCCTTATGGAGTTTTGAATGCGGCTTCTGGAACACTGTCCCCTCTGGAGCTCCTGAGTTTGTTTTACATGCAGCCAGTTGTAGCCTGGCTCTGAGCTCTGCAGTCACACATATTCAGCGCACACACAGTCCAGAAGTGAACTCTGAATGGGCTGTGCACGGATGCATACTTCAGCCCACAGGCCCTTCCTGCACATGCTTCAACGGCATGGGCTGGGGGGTGTGTGGGACAGACCCCCTCAGTGAGCCTGAGCAGCAGGCGGGTCGCTGGCCCTAGTGGAGAGTGCTGAGGAGGGGGCAGTGGGCTTGGGGTCCATTGGTCTCCACTCAGAAAATGCACCCTGAGAAGGGACCCAGCAAAGCACAAAGACACCAGCACCTGTCGTGGACACAGGTGACTGCAGATGTCCAAAAGGGCCCAGGTTAAGGGGCTGGCCTCCCCCCGCCAATCTCCTTGTGATGCTCACCTTGGAGAGGACGCAGGGCCTGCTGGTACCGGCACTGGAGAACCCAGGACCCTAAGTCTCCACCCACACCCCAGGGCTGCTTTCATCCTGGTGAGTGTCGGAGACCCTGAAGGGCCAGGCCGTGGTCCCAGGCAGAGGGCCTGTCCTCAGTGCGCTGGCCCTGGCCTCTTGTTCCCTCTCTCTGGATGTGTTTGTGTCTTGCACTGGAGGAGAAGCAGCCATGCAGGTCCTGAGCAAGAGTCAGAGCTGGCCTGGTCAGGGAGTCTTCCTCCTGGCCCAGACCCACCTGGGACCAGGAACGTTCTCAGTGCCAAGGGGTTCTCACACGTTCCTACAAAACCAATGTGAAACCCAGTCCTCGCAGCTGCCCCTTGGGGCCCCAGGACTCCACGTTCTGAAGGCGGGGAGGGGCAGAGCACATTGCTGCCCCTGGACTCTGCTCAGAGCCCCAGCGTCAGAGTTATGCCCACCCTGGTGGCTCCTGGGTGCGGTTACTGCTTCTGTTTTCCCTGTGGACCACAGCAGGCAGGCCACCCCCTTCCTGGAGTAGATCACCTGTGTGGACTGTGACGGTGATGTTAGTGTGTGTGTGTGTATGTGTGTGTTCTGTGTGCATGTAGGTTCACATGTGTATGTGTACTGTGCAAGTGTGTGGTGTGCACATAGTTAATGGCTTCATCCTGGCCCAGCTCTTGTTGCTGTAGCCATTTGGGGAATGAACCAGCAGGTGGAAGATCTCTCTCTCTCTCTCTCTGCAAATCTGCATCTTAAATAAAAAAAATCTTAAAACCCTAAAACCCCACCATTTCAGCACTGGGGACGCCTTCAGAGCTCTAGGAGCTCAGGCACTTGATGTTTGGTGGAATCAGGGACAGCGAGGTGGCAGAGCTGGGCCTACAGCCAACACTGGCATGGCCTTCGGGTGCCAGTCTTGAGTCCCAGCTGTTCCCAGCTCCTGTCTTGGGTGCTGTGTGAGCCGGGAGAGAGGCTGTGGAGTGGTGCAGGTACTTGGGATTCCTGGCTGCCCCAGGTCTGTCCACGTCTGGACCTCCCCCTTGCCCCTCGTCAGCACCAGTAATGCTGTGTCCTTGGTCCCTGGCATCTCTAGGGCCTCTCAGGTGATTCTGGGTCCTTAACATGGGGTCTGAAGCTGCTCTTACCGTTGGCTTCCACATGGCTGCTGTCTGTTGCTTTTGTGGCCACCATGGCTCAGCCATGGCCACATTCCCTGAAGAGTGGTTTAGGGGTGGGGCTTTTGCATCCTCTGACCCTGCCTTCCCAGGTGTGTTCACGGGGCAGCCAGGACTAGAACAAGTGCCTATGATGATGCCACTCCACCCACCACAGCCAGCACTGATCCCTCACCTCACCTTCCCAACCTGTGTTCAGCTCAGTGGACAGGAGAGGGCAACAGTGTGGGCCTCTCTGGTCAGGTGGCCACTGACAGGAGGAGGTGTCGAGCCAGGCCTGCTTTGTGTCTAGCTCTAGTTTTCAGGGTGGCAGCTCCCACTGGTGGGCACCTGACCAGCCACCTCCTAGTGGTCTCCAGGATTGCCTGTTGGGGGATGTGGGAAGGGAGTTCTGGCCCCCATGGTGGCATCTGCCACTCACCCTGTCACTTGCAGCTCTGTGGGAGATGGGTTAGGGTGCCCCTCTTCTGAGCAGGACCCAGAAGGGAGCTGTAGAGATAGAGGTGCAGGCTGAGTGGTGGAGTTAGGCATGGCTGGCAGGTTTATAAATGAAGACCTGGGGTCCTCATGGACCTATATTGAGACCAGGCTCTCCCCTAGGCCCTGCTTTCCAGTGGGAGTCTGCAGCTCAGCCTGCACATACCATGCTACCCTCCCCTGTCCCCCACCTGTCTTCCCCTCCCCTCTCCACCTGCCCCTTCCACAGGTGCTTCAGGGTGCCTCAGGCGCACCAGCCCCAAAGGCCATTCTCTCAGGTTCCTCCAGCCCCCAGGGCGTCGTCTTCCTACAGTTTTCCATAGCACCTGCACTAATTACATATTTAACAGCAGTGTGTGAGTGTTCCCCTTTTCCACTTCCACCTTATCATGGTGACTCTGTCCTTTGGAGCTTACCCATTTTGAAAGGGTTAGCTCATATCATTGTGGTTTGGATGGCATTTCCATGATGGCTTGTGATGTTGAGCATTTTTTTCATAGAATTGTTGGCCATTTGTATTTTTTTTTTTTGACAGAGTGGACAGTGAGAGAGAGAGAGAGGGAGAAAGGTTTTCCTTTGCCGTTGGTTCACCCTCAATGGCTGCTGTGGCTGGTGCACTGTGGTTGGCACACCGAGCTGATCCGATGCCAGGAGCCAAGTGCTTCTCCTGGTCTCCCATGCGGGTGCAGGGCCCAAGGACCTGGGCCATCCTCCACTGCACTCCCGGCCAAAGCAGAGAGCTGGACTGGAAGAGGGGCAACCGGGACAGAATCCGGCACCCTGACCAGGACTAGAACCCGGTGTCTGGTGCCACAGGTGGAGGATTAGCCTAGTGAGCCGCAGCACCAGCGGCCATTTGTATTTCTATGGAGAACTCTGTTCAGCTCCTTTGGCCATTTCATATCTGGATTCATTGTTCATTTATTTTTTTTTTTAAGTTGCGGATGTATTCTGGACATTAATCCTTTTTCAGATAGGTAGGTAGCTCACAGATATTTTGCTCATTCTGTTGGAGGACTCTTTATTGATGATTTCCTGCTGTCCATAAGCTGTTGACTTTCATATAATCCCATTTGATTAGTTTTGATTTTGTTGCTTTGCCCTGAAGGTCTTTTCTAAGAGTCATCTGTACTTAAGTGTCTTGTAGTACTTACTCTACATTTGTTTCCAAAAGCTTCATAGTCCCTGGTCTTACATTTAGTCCTTGATCCACTTTGAGTTGATTTTCTTTTCTGTGAGTAATGGATCTAATTTCAATCTCGTACATAAATGCAGTTTTGCCAACACCAGTTTTTGAGGAGATTTTCCTTAGAGCAGTCAATGGTCTGAGACCTTTATCAAAAATCAGATGTCTCTACATATTGTATCGATTTTGGGACTTGCATTGTTTTTTTTCCATTAGTCAATGTGTCACATTTATGCACTGCTGTGATGTTTTAATTAGTGTTGATTTGTAGTATGCTTTGAATCAGGTGTTGTGAGGCATCCAGGTACTTTTGTTTTGTTTTGTTTTTTGGTAAGGAACCCCCGAGCTGTTCTGGATCTTCTGTGATTTGTATGAATTTTAGGCTTTTTTTTTTGTTTTTTCCACAAAGAATGTTATTGATATTTTGATAACAATTTAATTGAATTTTTAGATTGCGTTAGGTAAGGTCGACATTTTTTTTGACAGGCAGAGTGGACAGTGAGAGAGAGAGAGACAGAGAGAGAAAGGTCTTCCTTTTACCGTTGGTTCAACCCCCAATGGCCGCTGCGGCCGGCATGCTGTGACCGGTGCACCACGCTGATCCGAAGCCAGGAGCCAGGTGCTTTTTCTGGTCTCCATGCGGGTGCAGGGCCCAAGGACTTGGGCCATCCTCCACTGCACTCCCGGCCACAGCAGAGAGCTGGACAGGAAGAGGAGCTACCGCCACAGAATCTGGCACTCCGACTGGGACTAGAACCCGGTGTGCCAGCTCCGCAGGCGGAGGATTAGCCTATTGAGCTGTGGCGCCGGCCAAGGTAGACATTTTAATGATACTCATTCTTCGAATCCATCAAAAGAAATATCATTTCATTATTTCTGTTCTTGGTGATTCTTTTATCAAGATATGGTAATTTTGATTATAGAGCTTTAAAACATCTTTAATGTATTAAACACTGCTGTTTCTACAGTATGTTATTGTAACCTGTAACTTCACTTAATTGTTTCACCAGTCCTAGCAGTGTTTGGGTTTATTGTGTTAGTATTTCTGTTACAATATCATGTCACCAACAAGCCCTTAGAATTTGATGTTCAATTTTCACACCTATTTACTGATTCTTTCTTTCTTCTCCCTCATTGTTTTTGTGAAAATTTACAGTACTACATTAAGAAAGAGTGGTAAAAAGGGACATCCTTGTGTTGTTACATGTTTGACAAAAATGCTTTCAAATTTTCCCCATCCAGCATGACAATTGGCTGTTGGCATGTCATA